GGAAATATGAATGTACTCTTTTGTCAGCATATCACTGTCAGCTTATACCAGCACAAATGCCCCGACACGATTGGAGAGCCTTTGTCTATTTGATTTAACCCACGACTTTGTCTTTCTACTTTCATCACTCACAAGCAGCGTTTTCGGGTCTTTGCCCCCCTTTCTTTTCTTTTCTGTTTTTTTCCCTCTTTATTCATTTATTTATTTGCTTAGGAGTTTCTCTGCCAGGAAATCCTTGGGATTAGCTTTCTAATTATTTAATTTGATTAAAATTAAATCATATTAAAAAAATATATGAAACATATAATCTTTAATACTAATTCTAAAAGTAAAAAACTATCCGTAGTTCATTTTTTCCGATTCTATAAAAAAAAAAAAAAAAAACTCTTTTTTTTTAAAATAATTATAATTGTATTTTGATTGTTAGGTTAATTTTTTAATGATTTTATCTCAATCAATTATGTATATCGTAAGGTGTATCAAAATTAATTTATATCGTGAGGTGTGCATTTTTAATGTGACACTTATAAATTAAACTATTGAAAAATTAATTCAACAGCTAAAAAGCCTTTATTTGCTTAGGAGTTTCTTTGACCGGCAGGTGGTTCAGTTTCTAAATGCTTAATCTAGTCAAAATCGCATCATATTAAAAAGTATTAAGAATAATAATATTTGATATAGATATGACGATTGAAATTTGAAAAAAAAAATATCAGTAATTCATTTTTTCTAATCCTACCAGAGAAGCTCTCTTAATTTTTTAAATAATTATATATTAATTTTTTTAATGATTTTCTCTCAATCAATTATTATATCGTAAGGTGTATATTTTTAATGTGACACTTATAAATCAGATTGTTTAAAAATTAATTCAATAGTTAAAAAACCTTTACTACTGCAGTAGTAAAAGAGCCGTTTTCTTTTTATATTAACATTTGAAAACTTGTATACTAGGACTTCTTCTTTTTAATTATTGGTAAAGAGCCGTTTTCTTTTTATATTAACATTTGAAAACTTGTATAGTAGGACTTCTTCTTTTTAATTATTGGTAGTTGTTGTTTCAATTGTTAAGATTTTAACAGTTTAATTTATGAGTAATTACGTTAAAAAGTTACAGTGCACAACACAAGTACTATAATTACAGATTATACCGTAAAAAATATAATCTAACTCTTAAAACAGTAATAACTACCTATAATTAAAAAGAACACGACGTATCAGATAAGTTTTCCTTAAGTTTTGAATATAAAAGAGAGAAAATAAATTAATGTTTTATTTCAAAGTTTGTGACATAGAGGGGTAAGTGGTAAGAAGAGTACTACAACTGGGTCACTGGGTGTATCGTCTTACTGATGTATGTACCCATATGTGACACATGCACGTGTTTTCTTAACTGGTTGACTCTGTTATGTATTTAGGGGCTGTCCTTTAATAGGAAAATAATTAGGGTCACCACCGAATTGAACTAGAAAGGTTGTTTTGACTTTCTTATTTTCTTTTTCTTTTCGTTATAATTTTTTATTTCTATTTTTATTTTTTTATCTTTATTTCTCAAAGGGTTATTATGAGCAGTCCAAAATAGTGGCTTGAATCTTAGATATTTACTTCATGTGGACGTTGGTAAAGATTTTTAGCTTTGGGTTGCATGAAACTTGTTTTATTCACGAAGTAGAAAACAACATATGTAACCTCATTTAGCATCATGGAGAAGGACCAAAAAGAGAGAAAAGCCCATTTAGTAATTTCTTCAAGTTTGAAGACCATGCATGGGTTACATAAAAAAAAAAAAAAAAAAAAAAAAAAAAAAAAAAAAAAAAAAAAAAAAACACATGCATCTCTAGACGAAATAAATAACAAAAACCAAAAAATCATGCATCTCTTAATTATTTTTCTATTAGATTGAAATCACGCACCATAGTAATTTTCATATATGCACAGAGACTATATATAATATGTAAGAAAAATAACATAATCCACTCTTCTATTATAATTTTCATATGTGTTTTCTCCCAATAGCTAATATGCACAGAGACTATACATGTTATATAAGAAAAATAACATAATCGACCCTTCTATTCTCACGTTATAGTAAAATTATGGGAAGGTTTATTTTGGTATCCTATGTTATATTGAAATATGTGTTTGGTGTCATGTATTTTTGATAATTTCATTTAGCTACCTTGACGTTTTGGAAAATAGTTTTTTTGGTACCTTGGGGTAGTGTTTTAGGATGTGAAATGTCATTTATACTCTTTACTTATTTTGTTCAATTTTATTTAAAAAAATATTAAGAATATTTTTAAAAAAAACCATAAAATTAAAAAATTAAAAACTCTCAATTGTTAATATATTTAAAGCATCTTTAAAAAATATGTTTAATAAATTTTAGTTTCTAATTAATTAATGATAATGCTAAATTTGACATTTTGCGTCCTAAAAAATGTCTCGGAGTACCAACAAACTATTTTTTAAAATATCGAGGTACCTACATGAAATTATCAAAACACAATATACCAAACGCATATTTCGATATGGCACAGGGTACTAAAATGAAATTTTCTTTAAACAAAATTATTTTATTCTTTAATCTTGGAAACTACACATGACACCTTTGACCTTATGTCACAATGTAGGTTGAAATTAGAGATCATTTTACCCTCAAATTATCTAAATAATACATTTGAATTACACCCAAATTTTCCTTCCAGAAAAAGTTACTGCCAAATTCTTAAAAGGAGTAGCTTAACATTGAAATCAAACAAGCACAAAACTGCACACCATTGCAAATGCCAAAAACAACAAAACTCGTGTATTCTAACAGTGTCTTGCTTAGATCTGCCTCATGGGAGATTGCACTTCATGCATTGCCAACCAGGACAAAACTGGATTTGCGCAAGTCTCACGCTCGAATGAGAACATTAAAACCAAAAGCTCAAATATGAAGGCGCAAATAAGATTTTCAAAAATGAAGGATAAATTTTAATTAACTGCCATAATATAGGGGTAAAATTACGTAATTTAACTCTGTTATATATGTATATTTATGAAATTCGATCAGAAAATGGGGTGAACACTAATTTGATTGAAGCAAGTCCAAGTGCAAGGGACGAATTTCACAAATATATCGTTAGATTTTGCTTTTACTTTTTGTGTCTCTCCCTCTCAACTTAATTTGTAGCTAAGTGAGCCGTAATCCATTTCTTAAACAAATTGGAGCCTAAAAATTTTCACTCTTTGATGACATCAAAAAATATTGCCTTTTGACTTCTAATAATCTAATATTGATCATTAGCTAGTTCTAGCTCCTCCAAACCCACAAGGTAGTACTATTACTACTACTCTCTCCAATTAAAATACCCATAACATTTTTCATTTCAATATTGTATTGAAATATAACCAAACGAAGGAGAAGGACATACTTTGGGCTGCTAGCTAGTAGCTATTTTTTTTTTTTTTTTTTTTTTTTTTTTTTTTTTTTTTAATATTTGTTCAAGGGAATTTGCATATTTGGGCTAGTTAGGGGCGTCCAACTTTATAATCCTTTTTCTTTTTTTTGGATGTGCTATCGGTTAGGGCTAAGGGTGTATAAACTTGATAAAATCAAGGATATTTGCACCTCTTTTTATCACTTTTGGTTTTGTAACGTACGTTTTCTTAGAATTTTGATATTATTGAGTTTGTATATAATGAAAAAAGTGGAAAAGATGACGTAAATATTAGTGTTTTAAAAAAGCTAAATCTTTATTCTTTTTGACGAGAAGGTATTCATCTTATGATATTTTCAATTAATTGGATCCTTCTATAGTATAAAAATCACACCAGTATATAAAATATATAATTTCTTATAAAGATGTGACGATGAAAAAAAAACCTATATATTAGTAGTTTATGTTTCCAGCTCATCTTCTAATTAATAACCTCATTTTTTTCTTTTTTCTTTCGCATAGGGGTTGAGAATTTGAATTGGCACATATGTTGATCTAATTATCAGTCAAATTAATCAAACTTGTGATAACAAGATAATTTTTTTTTTTCCTTTCTAGAAATCATTATCTGATTTTTGAATATCCATAAGTTGTATGAGAAAATATGATAGACTGCAATCTTTGCATTACCAGTACCACTTGACAAACTTTAAATTGTGGGGGAAAAAAAAAGCTTGATATAATCAACATCACGCTTTTACCCTCCTCATTCACTATAAGATATCATATGGATATATGCATATATAATACGAACCTAAGCTACCATGATGTGACATCTTACTTATCTTTTCTCTCCCCTTATTCATTTTGGTTTTGACCATCTAATGCTAATTTTCCCAAGTATTTCTTTTCCAATCTCATGTTGTCTAATTGCAACCAATATTATTCAAATCAGGTTGGTGGGATAATTATCCATGTCCAAATTTCCAAATCAACAATCATTATAAACGCTTTAGGGGATATAAATTCTAGATTTTCTTAAGGACCAAATTACCCCTCAGTAATTTTTTTCCTTCTTCTTAAGTCCAAAAGGTCCAAAAAAAAACTTGCCCAAAAAGAAAATCCTAAGTAGACCGCATACCTCACCTTGGGTTGCATCACTCAACCCATAAGAACAGCAATAACCACAAAACCCCTATGGTTGGATCAGGGCTTGAAGAAAGAATCACAAATTTTTTTTTTTTTTTTTTTTTCCTTTCTCCATAGTAGATTCATAAGAGAGAGATTTTTTCTTCCTTGGAATGGGCTAAAGAACTCTCTCTCACACATCCACCACCCATGTGGGCCCCCACTACATGAACTGTCCAATACATTTCAGTGGTGGGCTACACGCTCTACTCGTACGGACCCAATAAAAGGGACATAGTAGTAACAAAAAGATGTGGGCTTTTATTTTCTTTCTTAATTTTTTTTTTTAAATTTCTCTCTTTTTTGGGTGTGGTCCGGTTCTTTTTCTTATTGAAAAAAAAAAAAAACACTAACTAATAATGAAGAAGGAAAATAACAATGGACCTTATAAGAAAGTCCAAATGCCCAAAAAATAACAGGGCAATCAGTTGGTTTGTGTGTGACCCTATTTCAAAATCTGACCCCAAAACAATCTTATCTCTTACCTGTGCCCTTCAAGACCCTTTCCTAAAGGTCCAATTAGCTTCTCGGGTTCGTTCCAAAAAAGCCCAAATCTCTCTCTCTCTCTCTCTGCAAAACCCTAGATCTCGATCATTCCCGGAGACCTCCATAGCTCGGTCTCCGAGCTTCGATCGTCGCCTCCGCGCCTTCCGTTGTCGTCTCAGAACCTTCGGTAAAAGCCTTAACTTTTTTTGCCCTAATTTCTCTTTTTGCTCCGCTAAATATCGGTTATTTCATCGATTCTCTGTTCGCCGTGTGTTATTGTCTGGAATTTTTTGTGGTTCTGTTTCGAATTTTGGAATTTGAATTGCTTTGGGCGAAGTAATTTCTTGGTTTTTTGTTTTTTTGTTTTTTTGGATTTGGTTTGTGGGTTTTGAATTTGGGTGTAAAGGTGCAAGCTTTTTTTTAAAGCTAATCTTTAGGTTCTGGACGATCTGCTATTTTTGGTTTTGGTGAATGGTTTGTTGTTCTTTGTCTGGGCTAGAGCTCTGTGAGTTACTGAAGCCCAAGTTCTTTTAGGATAATAATAATAATAATAATAATAATAATAATAATAATAATAAACTGTGAATAGATCTTTATTTTGTTGTTTGATTGTTTCTTGTTGTGTTTTGTGAAGCTATTTTTAGCCCGTTTGAAGTTTTCATATTTGTGTCTTGTTTGATCCTGACCCATGTTTGGATCCATGGCGAGGGTAATGTTTTTTTGACGTTTGGTTGAAGATCTGTGACGGACCTTGTTGATCTGATGGATTGAAATGAATCTGGGGTGGTCAAGGTTTGTTGGGTTGACTGATTCATGGTGTTTTTTAGTCTCGGCCCATTTGGCTTGGTGGGCCCGGCCCGGCCCAGCCCAGTAGTGGGGCCGAGCTGGGTGTGTTGGACGATATAGCGTAGAGTGCCGAAAGGATATTAAAATGGCGAAGTTGTGTACATTTTTAACTGTAAATGCCTCATGCTTAGCTCCATTCAAAAATAAAAATAAACAAAAAAAAAAAAAAGCCTCATGATCCAAAAAAAAAAAAAAAAAAAAAAAAAAAAAAAAAAAGCCCCATGATCCAAAAAAAAAAAAAAAGAAAAAAAAAAGAAAAGTAGTATTTCTCAAAAGTAGTTTTTTAACTACAACTTTTTTAAACAATACGTTTCGAAGAAGCAAAAGGAAATGGAAAGGGAGAGAGTGGACTTTAAAGCAACACCTTTATGTGTATATATACTCACAAGTATCTTTAACAAAAATATATTATGCACACACACAAAAAAAAAAATATTGAATTTTTAATTTTATTTGTTGTGAAATCAAGATTGTTTTATTGGTTGCTTTAAGTAAGTTAAAAGGGCAACTTCGATTTTTCATTATTATTGTCTAAGCAAATTAAAAAACTAAAAGATTGGGGCTATAACATTCGATGTGGTGGCTAAGTTACTTCTTTCTAGTTGTTTTTGCAATATTTGGTGCTCAACTCTGGAATCAAGGGTTCTGATAGCTATGTTCAGCTGATCCGGTAACTTTAATGAATGGATAGTGCTTTAGAATGAACGTGAGTAATGAGTATTCGGAAGGGATAGCTTGTTGTATCCTGTCTTTACGTGTTTCAAAGTTTTAGGGTAAATGGATATGGTCCACAACATTCAGTATCGTATAAATACAAGGGGCCAATATTGGCGATCTGAATAGTTGTTTAATTGTGATGAAACATGGAAGTGCTTGAATAGGTTTATTTGTAAGAATGATAATTACAAAATTGGGAACCATTTAGCTCACTCAGTTATTATTATTATGATTTTTGAAATAATGGTTTGGCCATAGTATGTAAGGAGCCTATTGTAGTAGTATAGTCCATGCGATGCTTTATATATATATATATATATATGCTTCATGGCATTAAGGAATATTTATCTGCATGATTTAGCGTGTAGGTTACTTAAATGTCTTTATTTCTTAATCCGTCCAGCAATTCCAAGCAGCCAATAGTCTTCTCTAGAATCTTGCTTTATATTTTTCAGAAGTTAATGCCCTGAGTCACTTGTTGCTTCATATGGTATATACACTTTCAAGACGTTTGAGGCAAATCTTAGACTAAGATAATTAGTTTCAATAGTCTGGGAGCACATACGGTTTTCTTAAACTGAGAAAGGTAAATGTTTAATCTATAAGCGGGATAAGTAGGCGTTATGCTTGCATCACCATTGTCTTTTGTTGATTTGTCCGTTGAATCTGTTGGTTTATTTGAAGCTGCATATTAATCGCATTTATTTTTGCATTTTGGGACTATATAATATTATTTCCCTGAAGAGTTTCAGTGACTGACTACCTTCCTTGGATATTGTTTATGTTGCCAAAGCAGGAATTGACCTGTCAAGACAAAGATGGCAGCTTCTGTTGAAGAGCAGATGGTCAGCACTCCTGTTCAAGACCATATGGTTACAACCCCTTCGGAAGACCATATGGTGACCACCCGTGTTGAAGAACATATAGGTCAAGACCATATTGTCACCAACCCTGGTGAAGACCATATGGGTCAAGCCCATATTGTCACATCCCTCGGTCAAGACCATATTGTCACCTCCCTCGGTCAAGACCATATTGTCACCACCCTCGGTCCAGACCATATTGTCACCACCCCTGTTGAAGATAAGATTATTGCTACCCCTGGTGAAGAAAAGACAGCTATCCCTGATGAGGAAAAGATGCTAACTCCTTATGAAGACAAGATGTTAACTCCTTATGAAGAGAAGACACCAAGCTTGTATGAAAATAGCGAGGTGCCTAATCCGGAAACACAGCCTAACAAGCGGAGGAAGAAGAAGTCCATAGTCTGGGAGCACTTCACCATTGAAACTGTGAGTGCTGGATGTAGGAGGGCGTGCTGTAAGCAATGCAAGCAAAGTTTTGCTTATAGCACAGGCTCAAAAGTGGCAGGTACAAGTCATCTGAAACGCCATATTGCAAAGGGAACATGCCCAGCATTGCTCCGTAACCAGGACAAGAATCAGCTGAGCCCATATACACCTAATTCAAGGTTAGGTAACAGCACTTCTGATCCACCAAAACGGCGTTACAGAACCAATAGCACGCCCCAGGTTTTGTTTGATGCAGACCGTATCCGCCACGAGATTGCTAGGATGATTATTATGCATGATTTCCCGCTTCACATGGTTGATCACCAGGGCTTTTTAACTTTTGTCCAGCATCTGCAGCCTTATTTCCAGATGGTGAGCTTCAACACTGTCCAAGGGGATTGTGTTGCAACATACTTAATGGAAAAGCAACATCTTATCAAGTTTATTGAGGGTATACCTGGACGAGTTTGCCTTGCTCTGGACATGTGGACTTCAAGTCGAAGTGTGGGTTATGTTTTCATTACTGGTCACTTCATTGATAGTGATTGGAAGTTGCAAAGACGGCTTCTTAATGTTGTGATGGAACCATATCCCGACTCTGATACTGCGTTTAGCCATGCTGTTGCCGTTTGTCTTCATGATTGGAGTTTGGAGAACAAATTGTTTTCAATCACTTATAATCAGTCGCTCAGTGAAGCCGCAGTTGAAAATATGAGGCCTCTACTCTCCATCAAGAACCCACTTATCCTCAATGGTCAGTTGTTGGTTGGGAATTGTATCGCTCGTACCTTCAGCAGCATTGCGAAAGATGTTTTGGATGAAGGGAAAGAAAAGGTCCGAAAGGTCCGTGAAAGTGTAAAGTATGTGAAGACTTCAGATTCTCATGAGGAAAAGTTCCTCGAGCTCAAGGAACAGCTTCAAGTCCCAAGTGAACGGAGCCTGTCTCTGGATGACCAAACTCAATGGAACACTACGTATCAGATGCTGTTGGCTGCTTCTGAGTTAAAAGAGGTATTTTCTTGCTTGGATACGTCCGACCCAGATTACAGGGGAGCTCCATCCTTGGAGGATTGGAAGCAGATTGAGATAATTTGCACATACTTGAAACTTCTCTTTGATGCAGCCAACATCCTTACCACCACAACTAACCCAACGCCAATTACCTTCTTCCATGAAGTGTGGAAGATTCAGTCAGAGCTGGCTCGTGCAGTTACAAGTGAAGATCCTTTCATCAGTTCCTTAACTAAAAGAATGCAAGAAAAAATTGACAAGTACTGGAAGGATTGTAGCCTCGCATTGGCAACTGCAGTAGTCATGGATCCCCGGTTCAAAATGAAGCTTGTTGAATTTAGTTTCAACAAAATCTATGGTGAAGAAGCACCTACATACATCAAGATTGTTGATGATGGAATTCACGAGCTTTTCCATGAATACGTCGCGCTGCCTCTGCCACTGACGCCTACTTATGCGGAAGAAGGTAATTCACGCAATGTTAAAACGGAGGAATCACAAGGAGGAACTCTTCTGTCCGACAATGGGCTAACGGATTTTGACGTCTACATCATGGAGACCACTAGCCAACAGATGAAATCAGAGCTGGACCAGTATTTGGATGAATCTTTGTTGCCTCGCGTCCAAGATTTCGATGTGTTGGGTTGGTGGAAACTGAACAAGTTGAAGTACCCAACTCTTTCGAAAATGGCTCGTGACATTTTGTCAATCCCAGTATCCACTGTTCCTCCTGACTCGATATTTGACACCACTGCGAAAGAGATGGATAAGTATCGATGCTCTTTACGACCAGAGACAGTAGAAGCCCTTATATGTGCCAAAGATTGGATGCAGTACGGGCTACAAGACGTCTCAAATGCACTTGTGAGAATGGAATATTGATTATGATTAGTTTCTGTCATCCTTCATGTATGATGGTAGGTTGCCTGGCCAGAAGTAAAATGTATGTTGGTAGGTGCTGTATTATTTATTAGGCATTAGTTTGTCATTCACCATTAGGTTGGCATTTGTATCATTCTAAGAGACCTTAATGCTTGGACATGACAGCTTTTTATTTTTTTTCATTTTTAGTTTCTAATGTTAGGATTGGCAGTTTCAAAGATGAGCATTTGGTTGGCCTGTTCTTTGTTCTCTCTCTCTCTCTCTCTCTCTCTCTGTGTAAAGACTAACTAGGGAATTTAAGCTCAAGAAGCCGTGGGTGACCATGGACATTCAGGACTTGATTGCTCTCACGGAATCTACCAAATGCCCTTCATTTTCTGTTCCTGCTTCTATGTACCACTCTTAGTATGTCCTGTTTCCTTTGTTTAATATTGGCTTGAATACCGAGTAAATTGATTAGTTGCCTTAAGAACAGTATCAGGGTGAAAAGGCTGGGAGGGGAAAAGAAATACAGGAATTTAATACCATTTTGTCCCTAGAAATTTTTATAGGTAATTTAGTTTTTGAATTTTCATGATGTTAGTAATTAATCTCAATCGGGGAAGAGATTATTTAAGAAAATGATTACAAATATATCGAGAAAAATTACTAAAAACATCCCTTCCGTGAACTAGTAAAGTTAAAGTCCACTTTTTTTTTATTTTTTTTTATTTTTATTTTTTATCTCATGTTGACAAATCCACTTTTTCAGTGAATGTCGGGGGATTGCCCCTTCTTTTGCATTCAGTGAGTATTAGGGAGCAACTCCACCCTCTTTTCAGTTCGATTCCATTTAGTTAGACTTCGACCAATATCAATATATAAGCTTGAGTCGAAAGCAAAGTAGTGACCTAACTACTCGTTGCTTAAGAGCCCGTTTGGTTGGAGGATTCGTTCTCTGATTCGAATTATGGTTCATGGTTCGCTACAGTATTTTTTCTCACAAAAAATACACGTAAATTAAAAATGATTCTAATCTCATAGTTCTAATTCATGAACCAAACGAGCTCTAAGTGACCTCTCTGTGCTCGTTCTTAGGCGTCAATTGGTTTTGAGTGTTAACCAACACAATATATAAACTTGCCAAATTAAATAGAATATGATGCTATATGTAGCATTCAAAAACTACAAGATGTTGGAATATTTATATGGACTAGCACAAATCATTATTAATTCACTTAAATATGTCACAAATTAGAGCATGATTTCATGGACAATTATATTGTATTATGGTTTATGCATGGTATTATAACAAGGGCTATAATAGGATGGACAATTTATTTCTAATGTACATGAGCCTTTGGACTCACTCTCTCTAAATATTTAGTCAACCCATTACATCAAATTTCCTCTCTTTCCACGTTTTTGGTTAAGGCCCAAGGCCCATTGCTTAGTGTGGCAAAACAAAACCAGAGGGGCAAAAATTAAAGGGAAATAATAGAAAATATGCTAATATAAAAAGTTTAAGAAAGTATATAGAATAATTTTTAGTTATAAAAATTAATAGGCCATAACTTGTCAAGTTATTGTTCATAACCAGATAAGTTATGGACAAACTTGTCAAGTTATGGTTCATAACCAGACAAGTTATGGACAATAACTTGTCAAGTTATGGTTCATAACCAGACAAGTTATGGACGAAAACAGTAATTTGGCCTATTTATTAACTTATGTAAACTATTGGCCTATTAATTTTAATTCATCTCAAGTTTTGGCCTGTTTCTCTCTTTCTCCCAAAATTTTGAGCCCCCTGCCATGTATGTGTGTGTGGGTTGTTGGTGTTTGTGGAAAAGAGAGGCAGAGAAGAGAAAGAGTTCAAGAACTCATCAAGCCCCTTTGATTTTTTCAGGTCATTCAAGCACCAATTCTGGCCGGTCTTGAGCGTTTTTCGGCAACCATGGATGACGCCATTCTTATGCCAAGTGGAGGAGGTAATTGTAGAACCATTGTTTTTCTATATGCTTCAAAATCCAATTTGATAGTTTTATTTTTGGGTTCAATGTTTTGATCTCACTTATGAGTATTTAGAACCCCATTATTTCTAGCAAATGGTATCATAGCCTATCTCATTGGATTTGAGGCTATAGTTTTATCTTTTTTTGTTTACTGCACGTTCAAGCTCTTCCATGGGGTTTTGGTTTTTATGGGTTTTTGAGTGAAATTGATGTTTGAAAACTAAAGAGAATGAAATTTGGATCAAAATCCCTTTAAAAACATAAAAAATGGACAACCAGAGCTTGATTTTCCGACGGGTCGGGTCACGGATCTGATCAGATTCGTTCTGCACTTTTTAGAGGACAGGGATGCTTCAAACGACATGTCGTTTTTCTTTGAAGGAGGAACTACGGCTTTCGTGTTATTAAAACAACATGTTGTTTTCAATAAGCTCGTTTCTGGGGACAAAAAAAAAAAAAACAGTTTTGACCAAACTTTGACCGGTCCGTACGAACACATCCGAAGTCTGTTTTGACTGCCGTTTTCGCCGTTGCGCTCCCTTTTTCATTTCCTACCTAGTTAAATGATTTATTTTATATTTGGACCACCATAAAATTATGTTTACATATTTCTTTTATAATATAGGTTATATATCTATGGGTGGTTGATTTTCACAATTTTTCAAACAAATTTTTCCTGGGCATTTTGCATATAATTTGTTTGATGATTAAATGCCATAAAGTTTTAGTTGTATTGTTTGATTTTGTATGTCATAGTAAATTTTAATTGTGAGAATTCGACAATAGTGAATGTTTATGTACTCGCATATCGTGAGTTTAAACATGTTAAATTGCATGCGTATGTTACGGAGCTCTCCCACAAAATTTAACATTTCTTTTTAAAAAAGGCATTGGGATACACACACTCCTTAAATGAATGCACATGAGCTACCAAAAAATATTTTTATTTAAATATTTGTTTATTTTAATGATTTTTCATATATTTTCTTGATAGTTTTAATTCTCACTATTTTGAGACCTAAAATTTTAGAGCATGTTTGTTACTCCATATTATATGGTCATATTTTATTTGTTCTCCCACATAATTTGATATTTTGGTAAATAAAATTTAGACATATAATATGATGTTTGTTCAAATTTTTTGAAATGCCCATTTTGTGTTTAATGTTTCAATGCCTAATTATTTGTATAGGCATACATAGTATCTTTCGTGTTAAAGTGAGAATGGAAATTTTATTAGAAATTCACATGTTATTATAAAGCTTAAGCTACAAGTTTGTCCATACTTTATTTATTATTACCATCATTATTATTTGATATCTTGTTTTATGTGAGTATCATGTTTTTTGATTATGCTATCCAAGTGGGAGAAAATTAGAAACATTTTTTTTTGTGGATTAGCATAATCACTAACTCACATACTATTATCAAATAATAAATTGTGGGATTATATGGATAAACTTAATTTGTTGATTATGTTCTGAAAGTCTATATGAGTAATAGAATTATCCTATCGATAGTTTTATTGCTTGGTAGGACACTTGAGTCTTGTTGAAGCTTAAGCTTGTTGTCTTTATCCATTTTTTTGTTTACATGTTATTATTTGACATTTTATATTATATGAGTATTGTTGTAATTGATTATGCAGCTCAAGTGGGAGAATTATAATAACCGGAAGAATTAAACATGTTTAATTATGTTAATTGTGATATATTAGTGTGCCTGATATTGATTTTTCTTAATTAATCATGTCATTAAAAATTTTAATTACTTTCAGTTTTGAAAATACACTTTTCCTTTTTCTTCTAAATACCCTTTAATACATTTTTTCCACCTTTTCTTTTCCTTTTCTTTTTCTTTTTCCTTTTTCTTTTCCTTTCTTTCTTTTCTTTTTCTCTCTCTCCTTTCCCTTTCTTTTCTGCTCTCCCCCCCTTTGCTCTCTCTCTCTCCCTCTCTCTCTCTCTCTCTTTCTTTTTCTTTTCTCAGTCTCCCCTGTTTCCTTCACCACTGGCCTCCCTCTCTTTCTCCTTTACTCCGGCCGGCCACCCACTCTCTCTCCCTCTCTCACCGGCATTCTCTCTCCCTTGCTTTCTCTCTTTCTCTCAGCTCTCTCTTTAGTTTGTTCCTGCCTAACTAGGAAAGAAGAAAAAAAAGAGAGAAACAGAGGGAGCAAGACTCCTCAATCAATTTGAGGTAAGATTTCTTGAAAACCCCACTCTTGGATTTGAATTTCTAACTTGAGAAAGTGTGATTTTGGTTAGATTTGATGAATTTTGGTTTAGGTTTAGATTTGGACAAATTGTGGATAAATATAGGTTGAAATTGAGGGTTTTTAGTTCTTGAGCATATTGAAGTGTTTGGAAACTGATTTTAGCAATTTCCTATGAATTTAATTTGGAATTGAACTCAAAATGCAGGTTTTTGATATTTTTCCTATTGATTGTCAAATTATTAGCGTATTGTAGAAATGCTTTAAAAACTTATTTTTAAACTAAATTTTAATGGGAAACCAAACTAACGGATTGAGTTCTAATTTTCAAAGAACCCCAGGTTGAATTATGAAGTTGTTTGCAAGCTTTAGATTTGAGTCAACGCACACTAATAGGAAACAATTGTACATGATTGAACTAGATTCGTTTTAGAGGTGAGAACTAAATTCTAAAACATTATTTTGATGATGAAGCTAACGGCACGATCGAACGTGGAGCTTCAAGAATAGATGGTTGGACAACGTGAAGTTATTCGTAGACTAAATTGCAAAGAGGTAGGATACTCTTTTCCATATCCTTGTTAGCCTTGTTTTCAAGTATTTTGGCCTATGGAAATGTTTTAAAGATAAAACATATTTTATAAAGAAAAGTATTTTAAGGCAATAGCATGATTTATGCTATTGAATTCATAATGAACTGAATTAAGGTTTAACGGATATTTTTCTTAAAATAAGATACTTTTAAAAAATGGTAACAACGCTGATGGCCTAGAAATCAAGATATGGAGATTGTATCCTTCAGGGCAGGATCCGAAATCCATATGGGCCACTATGGTGGTGATTGGCCTTGCAATGGTTGTAAGTAATTTATCATTAAATTACTTGCTGGTGCTTGGAACCAGTAATTTAAGTTTATTTTTCTTTTAGAAAAAGGATGTTTGGTTCCAGATGACATGTTCTGACCCTGTACTTCCATTTATTTATGCAGTTTTCTAAAACTATATCCTACTGGGCCTTTTGCTTACTTTTTCTCTATTTTCAACGCA